GGGAAAAAAAAAAAAAAAGGTCCCAACGCCTTTTCTTTTGTCTTCTGGATCTCCTCCTTTCCTGAAGCAGGGGATCAGTCACAGGAAATTTTCGACCCCAGATCTTAGTCTCTCTTAATCCCTCTTTGGTCTGCGGAAGCCTCGGAAGGCGTGGCCAGGGCAGGTCTTCCCGGCCGAGAGCCGGCGGTTGGCACCGTCTCCCTCCCTGGCACGGCTGAGACAACTGAGTTCGGAAAGGCAAAAGCAACACTCCGCGAGGAAGGGGATACGCATCCGACCACGCCACAAAGGCACCTTTCCAAGATCTTGTTAGGATCTTATCCACGTTTTTGCGGGAAAAAGCGACACCTGAAGCTCTTTCAGGTTTTTTTTTTTTTTTTTAGGCGGCGTCTCGCTCTTGTATAGGCTGGAGTGCAAAGACGCGATACCGGCTCACTGCAAACTCTGCCTCCCAGGTTCAAGCGATTCTCCTGCCTCAGCCTCCAGAGTGGCTGGGATTACAGGCGCCCACCACCACGCCTGGCTCATTTTTGTATTTTTAGTAGAGACGGGGGTTTCACCGTGTTTTCCGGGCTGGTCTCGAACTCCTGATCTCGGGTGATCCGCCTGCCTCCGCTTCCCAGAGTGTTGGGATTACAGGCGGGAGTCAAAGAGCCCCACCAGTCTTTAGTTATTTTAATGAAGCTACCAAGTACACTTCAGCTGGAGGGAGGGAGAGTGGGAGGGAGAGTGGGAGGGAAGGGGCGGGGTCAGTCTGTCCTTCCAGTTTGCAGAGTTCAGGCTCGCTCACCCCTTCTTAGCTCAGAAATCACCTACAATAACCGCGTGTCACCGTATCTTGTGATTTCAAACAAGGAACCCTAAAAACCTGAAAGGCACATTGGGTGCCACTCAACAATGAGGCTTGGCTGCCAAGACGAAAAAAAAAATTGCTTTTTCTCCTCCTGCCACCCTGAGAGGTGCCAGGTTGTAATCTGCAAATGTATTGTCTGGCCCTTAAGGTTTGACAGTTAATGATTGGTCGCTGAAGGAGCCTGGTGGAGGAGCGAGAGGGACGCGAGCCAGTGAACGCGGGAGGGAGCGCAGGGCCCGAGCCGAGCCCCCGCCCGCCACATAGGCGCCGCCTCCGGTCTTCCAGGACCCGGCACTTCGCGCGTCTCGGGCGCCGGAGACGCGCAAGGGCGCCCATGGAGGCAGCCACGCCGGCGGGCCCCGACACCTCTGAGCCCCTCGCCGAGGGAGCGGCGGGCGAGTTCTCCAGCCTGCTGCGCAGGATAAAAGGCAAACTCTTCACCTGGTGAGTGGAACTCGCGCGCCGCAGCTCCGCTGGGGCACTGGGGCGGCTGCGGGCCTGACGCGCACGTGGACACCGAGCACAAGCTCTGAGGCCCCGGCAGGGAGGCAGAGGCTGCCCGGACTTCGCTTCGGGGCTCAACACGTGCGCCAGGGATGCTGCGCTTCACCTGGCCTCGGAGAGCACATCGCGTGCCTCCCTCGGCTCCCTATTCGAAATCATTGCAATGTATTTGAGAGGATTTGGTGGTGGTGGGGGGGAATCCACCCTGTTGGCACTGTTAGGTCAGTCCTCGGTGGCGTGCCGCCGGGGAGGGGACCAGGTCCCCAGGGATGCTGTGAAGGAGGGGTGCCCACCTCGGGCTGGGGAGGTGGGTGAGCGCCACTTCCTGGCGCTGGCGCCCTCATTCCGTCTGCTGCCGAGCCCGCCAGACCGGGCGCGATGATCCAAGAGTGGACACAAGTGAGAAATCCTGGTTAAGTTTTGTGCTGCTGCCAGGCGGGAGGGAGACAAGAGCCAGCCTTCTTTCCTGGGCTTGAGCCAGGTGACATGGCCACCCCCAGGGCTGGGGTCCAGGGAAGCCTGTTTGTGGTGTCAATATGCTTGGTGCGAAGTAGGGACAAATGTTTTTAAGGAGTGGACAGCTACTCTGGGGAAAGCATTTCTGTTGTTGCTGGAGAATTTGCACTCTGGAAATGAGAGAACCCAGGACCTAAATAGTGAAAGGCATTACTGAGCGTTCACTCTGTGTCAGGTACTGTAACAACAATATATATGGATAATATCAACTAATCCTCACCACTTTAGGAGACGTCACTATTGTTATATCCACTTTGCCGCTGGAGAAACTAAGAAGGCTAAACAATTTGCCCAAGGCCACAAGATGACCTGTAAGGGGCGGTGCCTGCAAGCCATAGTCTAAACAGTGTTGGCCACTGGCACCTCATGAAACAGGCTTGCTTTCTTTTCTTTTCTTTTTCTTTTTCTTTCTTGAGACGGAGTTTCGCCCTTGTTGCCCAGGCTGGAGTTTAATGGCATGATCTTGCCTAACTGCAACCTCTGCCTCCCGGGTTTAAGCGATTCTCCTGCCTTAGCCTCCCAAGTAGCTGGGATTACAGGCATGCACCACTGCACCTGGCTAATTTTGCATTTTTAGTAGAAACAGGGTTTCTCCATGTTGGCCAGGCTGGTCTCGAACCTCCCCACCTCAGGTGATCCACCTGCCTCGGCCTCCCAAAGTGCTGGGATTACAGGTGTGAGCCACTGGCCTGGCCTGATTTTTTTTTTGTAGTAACAAAGCGAATTTCCGTTTAAAGATTGTGAAAGATATGTCCGGAAAAGCCATACCATTTAAAAAACTGGATCGATAAAGGTGTAAGCATTTTTTATCATATAAATATAGTTTGAAATTGATGCATGTGTTTAAAGGGGAAAGTTGGCTAAAAACCACCTTGTAGCATCCAGATGTGTAAGTCGATATATTTATTATAAGTTCTCAGCTGGGAGGCAATTGAGCATAATAGTTAAGGATACTCACATTCCGGATTCAAATCCTGGCTGGGTGACCTTGGACAAGTCACTCAACTTCTCTGTGCTCCAGTTTTCTTTCTTTTTTTTTTTTTCTTTGAGATGGAGTCTCACTCTGTCCTCCAGGCTAGAGTGCAGTGGTGAGCGATCTTGGCTAACTACAACCTTAAGCCTTCCTGGTCCAAGTGATTCTCCTGTATCAGCTTCCCAAGTAGCTAGGATTACAGATGTGTACCACCACACCCAGCTAATTGTTTTGTATTTTTAGTAGAGATGGGGTTTCCCCATGTTGACCAGGCTGGTCTCAAACTCCTGATCTGATTTGCCCGACTTGGCCTCCCAAAGTCCTTGGCTTCCCAAAGGCGTGAGCCACTGCACCTGGCCTGTGCTCCAGTTTTCTTATTTGTAAAATGGAAGTAATAACAGTACCTGCCTTGTAGGGCTGTTGTAAGGATTAATTGGGTGACTAGGCAGCAGAGGGCAGACAGAGCCTGGCTCCCTTCAGTGCTCTGCATGGGTTAGTTTTCACCATCAGCTCTCTATTCTTGGGTGATGGGAACATGTGGTAATTGCTTCAGGAATGCCAGTGGCCTTGAGACTGGGGAGGTGTTATGGCAGGCAGATGTCTGTTTAACAAGATGTGATAAGAATGAACGACGATTTTTCTTTCTTTTTCTTTTTTCTTTGAGACAGAGTTTTGCTCTTGTCGCCCCAGGTGGAGTGCAAGACACAATCTTGGTTCACTGCAACCTTTGCCTCCCAGGTTCAAGCAATTCTCCTGCCTTAGCCTCCCTAGTAGCTGGGATTACATGCGCCAGCCACACCTGGCTAATTTTGTATTTTTAGTAGAGACGGGGTTTCTCCATGTTGGTCAGGGTGGTCTCAAACTCCCGACCTCTGGTGATCCACCTGCCTTAGCCTCCCAAAGTGCTGGGATTACAGGCATGAGCCATTAATCTGGCATCCACACACAAATTTTTTGAGGTTATCCTTTCTTACGTAATAACTGGTCGTGGGCATCTTTACATTCTGTATGGCCGAAGTTGTTGGTGTTTTTTTTTTTTTTTTTTTGAGACGGAGTTTTGCTCTTGTTGCCCAGGCTAGAGTGCAATGGTATGATCTCGGCTCACCAAAACCTCTGCCTCCCAGGTTCAAGTGATTCTCCTGCCTCAGCTTCCTGAGTAGCTGGGATTACAGGCATGCACCCCCACCACCTGGCTAATTTTGTATTTTTAGTAGAGACGAGGTTTCTTCTCCATGTTGGTCAGGCCAGTCTTGAAGTCCTGACTTCAGGTGATCCGTCCATCTCAGCCTCCCAAAGTGCTGGGACTACAGGCGTGAGCCACCACACCTGGCCATGGATGAAGTTCTTTAACAGCAGGAATGTTGTCTTTTTCTTTCTAATATCTCCCACAACCCTTAGCACATGAATGAATGAGTGAATGACTGAGGGATGGCAAAGGTTCCTACCTCCGGCAGGTATCCAAGCACTTGGATTTTGAATTGCAGTTTCTCTTTATCCGACCCAGCAGTCAGAAAAGAGTGGTTTACCAGATAACCAGCATTCCTTATACTTAATATTTTGAATTTTGTTGTCAAAACTCATGTCCCAACTTTGAGTTTAGCTTTGTGAATCCCCACCTGTGGCCAGGGAACCAAGGGTAGGATAGCGTAGAAAGAGGCTGGTGAATGGATGTGATGTGTTATCACCATATGGACAAGATACAGAGGAAGATTTATAACCACTTAGGTCATTTCTACTCCTTTTACCAAAAAGGGGCAAGAGCAGCCTTTTTGGGCAACTGGGTACTAAATATAGGGAGAAGACTGGGACCTAGACTTTGTTCTGTTTTCATTATGAGGAGGATATGTTCTAAGTGACCCCAGCTCCTAATATACCTGCCCCCATAGGGTACAGACAACTTTTCTCTATGATTAGGAATATCAGATCATTCATTCAATAAAAGTTTATTGAGGCTGCGCACGGTGGCTCACACCTGTAATCCCAGTACTTTGGTAGGCCAAGGTAGGCGGACTATCTGAGGTCAGGAGTTCCAGACCAGACTGGCTAACACGGTGAAACCCTGTTTCTACCAAAAATACAAATATATACACACACACACACACACACACACACACACACACATATACACACACACACATATATATACACACACACACACACACACATATGCACCACCACACTCGGCTAATATATATATTATATATATATTTATATATAATATATATTATATATATTATATATATAATATATATTATATATATAATATATATTATATATATTATATATATAATATATATTATATATATAATATATATTATATATATTATATATATAATATATATTATATATATAATATATATTATATATATTATATATATAATATATATTATATATATATAATATATATATAAAATATATATAATATATATATAATATGTATATATATATATATTAGTCGAGTGTGGCGGTGCATGCCTGTAATCCCAGCTACTCGGAGGCTGAGGCAGAAGAATTGCTCGAACCAGGGAGGCAGAGGTTACAGTGAGCTGAGATTGAGTCATTGCACTGCAGATTGGGCAACAAGAATGAAACTTTGTCTCAAAAAAAAAAAAAAGAGAGGAAAAAAAGTTTATTGAACACTTACTATGCTCCAGGCATTCATGATAGTGAGAATCATGTATTCCTTAGTGGACTCTGTAATTTTGGCTTTTGTCATTTATTGCTGTCAACTCAAGTGAAAAATATTGTGATAGAAGGCCATGGACTTCCAGGAATATCTGAGAATACTTCTTATTTGTTTTTGAATTTTATTATTATTATTTGAGAACAGGGTCTGTCTCTGTTGGCCAGGCTGGAGTACGGTGGCATGATCATGGCTTACTGCAGCCTCGACCTCCATGACTCAAGTGATCCTCTCACCTCAGCCTCCTGAGTAGCTGGGACTACAGGCATGCACCACCATGCCCTACTATTTTTTTTTTTTTTTTTTTCCGTAGAGACAGGGTTTTACCATATTGCCCAGGCTGGTCTCAAACTTATAGGCTCAAGTGATCTGCCTGCCTTGGCTTTCCAAAGTGTTGGGATTACAGGTGTGGGCCACTGCGCCTGGTCTTATTATTTAATTGTATACTGTCACACAGTTTATATTCTGATGCATAGGTCCTAATTTATTCATATATGTGTTTTTAATTTTTAGTTTTAATTTTTGTAGGGACAAAATCTTACTATGTTGCTCAGGCTAAACTTGAACTCTTGGGCTCAAGCAATCCTCCCGTCTTGGTCTCCCAAAATTCTGGGATCACAGGCATGAGTCACTGCACCAGGCCTATTCATGTATTTTTAGAATGTATATTCCTTATAACAACCATCAACTTTATATCTCTAGCAAAAACCTTTAGTTATTATTTTATATACTTATCTTTTTCCCAACAAATAGATGGTAAGCTTTTTG